CTAGAAGAAAATATTTTGCTGTGATTTATTTAGGTGAAATCCAGATTTTATTGGAGATGTTTATGCCTTTTCGGATAAATATTTCAGAAAAATACTAGGTGCCACCTGTTCTGTTGCTAGATGTGTATGTATAAGTGCTTTCTCCAACTAAGTTGTATAGATTCTTTATTAAATGTACTCCCACGTGGAGGGGAAAAATACACGTATCACTCACTCTTCTCTGAGCTACAAATTAATAAGCATTGCATGTGGTTCGACTCTAGATTCACCATTTTCTTTTGCTTCAAAGAAGTAATCAAGTTCATTCTTGGCCTGGTGCTATCTTCCTTTAATGTGTTTTCAAATAATTGAGATCTTTAATGGGAAATTATACAATCCTCTGTCCTAGAAGATTTTACCAGGCCTCTTGGCCCCAAAGGAGGTAATCAGACCAAAAATGATTTCTTGGAAGTTGCCTGAGTGAATCCTGTGAATAAAAGGCATTTTAGGGGCAAATTTACTCATTTTCTATTACTTACTTCCTTGATACCTTTGGTCACTTCCCAGACTATTCATTAGAAATTTCTGGCAACTGTTGGAAAGTCTGGAACGGAGATTTCTTCTCCTTTGCAAACGAGGAGCAGCCCCTGGGCGTTGATTTAGCTGTTCCACCTTCTCCCAATGTCAAAGACTTGGCTGCTTTTTGTTCTCTGATTTACTTATCAGGCACCCAGAGGATTAGGTGGAAATAACCCGGTCACCCAAGTGTGTTGAAGGTCACAGAACTGTAGTTGGAGACTGCTCCCAGAATGGGCGAGTTAGAGGATTGTGTGGGTGAGCATCTTATCCTATCCCTCTCTACAGGGTGAACTGAATTCATCACAGAGCAGAGGGAACCCTGCCTGTGGCAGCCTGCGTGGTTCAAGTCATATTCTCTGCTTCTGTGGCATTTATATAGCTCACGGGGCTCATTGACTCCATTATGGTGAAAGGTTGAGACGCGGGGGGGGGGGGTTGAGCCAAGTTTGGGCATCTTAACGCTGACCAGCCACGCTTGCCAAGTGCTTCCTTACTTCTTGTGTCATTTATTCTTTTTTTTTTTTTTGTAATTTTTTCCCCCAGTTTTTTGAGAAATAATTGACATGGGTCATTTTTTCTGAACAGTTAACCTGTGAGGCAGGTCCTGTCCTCAGCTGGTGCTAGGAAAGCCACATCTGTAGAGTCAGCCTCCAGTGAAAATTCTTTTAGTTGATTGGTTTGTATCTTTTACTTTTTGACTCCTTTTTGGTTTGGTTTTGTTTTATAGCCAAAATATAATCAGGAAATATGTAATGATGAAATATCTTGCTTTCCCTGAAACAAGACTCAAATTGGGGAGATTGTCTTTCATCCTGTTTAGATTCCATAAATCCCTGCATTTTCCTGGTTGCTCCGGAGAGTCAGCCACCTAGGAAATACCCGCTGATGGAGTCAGGCTGATACTAAAGCTGAAAAGAACCACAGGGTGTTGAGGACATTCTTATCCAGGAAAAAAAGACATTTGTACTTTGGTCCTGGTTGTGGGTAACTTAAGATAATTCTGGTTTGCTTATAGCTCAGGCCCTTCTACAGGATGGCAAACCTTTACAAAAAAATTTTTTAAAGCGATTAGGATTCCAATAATAAAGAGAAAAACATGAGAAGTACAATAAAGCTAGCTTTAGATGATAACATATGTATCATAGTATTTCATTTATTTAAAAAAACAAGCCATGTTTGCACACACAGGAAAGAATGGAGGGCTATACGTTGAAATATTTTTTTTAGATTTATTTATTTATTTTTAGAGGGAGAGTGAGCGAGTGAGCACGTGGAGGGGAGGGGCGGAGGGAAAGAGAATCTCAAGCTGACTCTGCCCTGAGCATGGAGCCCCCCACGGGGCTCGATCTCATGACCCTGAGATCACCACCTGAGCCAAAACCAAGAGTCGGATGCCTAACTGACTGCACCACCCAGGTGCCCCACCCACACTGAAATATTTTTAATAGTTCTGTCTAAGGGAATTATGGATAATCTTTATCTTCTTTTGGTTTATATTTTATATCTGTTTTTTAGAATGGACAAGTAGGTAATAAGATTTTTTAAAAGCATTTATAGGGGAAGCAGGAAGTGGTAAGGGGATATATGGAAACTATACTTTCTACTCATTTTTCTGTAAACCTAAAACTACTCCAAAAAATAAAGTCTGCTATTTTTTCAAAGGCTGTTCAGATAATAACCTCATGACCTACCGACTTTAAAGCTTAGTGCTGAATTTGATGCATTAGTTTTAGTAAAGGAACCTAGGAAGGGGAAAGTAATTGTTTTACTCTGTTTAGGGTGTTTTAACAAAATACTATAGACTGGGTGCTTATCGACAGCAGACATTGATTTCTCATGGTTCTGGAGGCTGGAAGTCCAAGATCAAGGTCCCAGCACAACTGGTTTCTGGTGAGGACTAGCTTCCTAGTTCATGACGGTCGGCCAGCTTTCTGCTATCGGCTCACAAGTGGAAGGGACTAGATAGCTCCATGGGGCCTCTTCTATAAAGATACTAATCCAATTCTTGAGGCCCTTACTCTCATGACCTAATCACCTCAAAGACCCCACCTCCTAATACCATCATGTTGGGCAGTAGGATTTCAACAGATGAATTGGGATGGAGGGATCACAAATACTCAATCTATAGAAATAACTAATTCTGTGAGTGATGGTAAAATATCTATTTATAGGTCAGGTTTCCCCCACAAAATACATGCTCAAGGGCAGAGTGGGTGCCTTTGTCATCTATTGAGAAGACACACAATAGATGCTTGTTGTATAAATGAATGAACAGATGAGCGCCAAGAACAGAGTAAAGCATTTACTCAAAGACACTCGGCCACATGCATCCTCTCTTCTTCCTTATGTTTCCTTACAAGTTGTGTGACTTTTCCTAACAAAGATAAGAATATGTGTTTAAAGTCATTGCAAGGAAAAATAAACATATAAAATCATTCCAAGAATAGGAGAACAAGTGGGGGGGGGTGATTAAACATAAAGAAAAATGCATATATGCAGTCCTTTTAAAGCCAAAATACAAAAATTTGCTTTTGAAGTTAGTGATAGAAATCAGACTCTTGTTAAAAAACATAACTGTAATGAAGGAATTAAGTCACATGCATTATGCTCTGACTCTTAAGTTGAAGTTGTGAGTAACAAGACAAATAATCCAATTTAAAAATGGGCAAAGGAGCTGGTGATAGCTTCCTAGGGTGGACAGAACAAATTACCACAAACTAGGTGGCTTAAAACGATAGAAATGTATTCTTTCACACTTCTACAGGCCAGAAGTCTGAAATCAAGGTGTCAGCAGGGTTTGTTCCTACTAGGGGCTCCGAGGGAGACCTGTTCCATGCCCCTCTCCCAGCTTCTGGTGGTTGCTGGCAATCCTTGGCACTCCTTGCCTTGTAGGACATTGTTGCAATCTCTCTGTGTAGCATTCTGTGTGTGTGTGTGTGTGTCTGCGTGCAAATTTTCCTTTTCTTAGACACAGACTGGATTCAGGGTGCCCCCTAATTACATCTTCAAAGACCCTATTTCACATACAGGCCACATACACAGGTTCCAAGTGGACATGAATTTTGGGGGGACATTATTCAACCCATCAAAGAGCTGAATAGACATTTCTTCAAAAAAGATAAACAAATAGCCTATGAGTGCATGAAAAGACGCTCACCATCATTAGTCCTCAAGGAAAGGTAAATCACAACCACAATGAGATAATAATATTCCATACCCACTAAAATGGCTAAAATAAAAAAGATAATGAGCATTTGTGAACTCCTGGTATGAATGTAGAATGGTGTAGCTGCTTTAGAAAACTGGGGGCAGTTTCTCAAAAAGTTACAAATAGAGTTATCACATGCCCTAACAATTTTGCTCCTGGGTATATGTATCCAAGAGAATTGAAAACACATGCCCAGGGCGCCTGGGTGGCTCAGTTGGTTAAGCGACTGCCTTCCGCTCAGGTCATGATCCTGGAGTCCCGGGATCGAGTCCCGCATCGGGCTCCCTGCTCGGTGGGGAGTCTGCTTCTCCTTCTGACCCTCTCCCCTCTCGTGCTTTCTATCTCTCATTCTCTCTCTCTCTGAAATAAATAAATAAAATTAAAAAAGAAAAGAAAAGAAAAGATACGCCCAGGGCGCCTGAGTGGCTCAGTCATAAAGCATCTGCCTTTGGCTCAGGTCATGATCCCAGGGTCCTGGGATCGAGTCCCACATCAGGCTCCCTGCTCAGCGGGAAGCCTGCTTCTCCCTCTCCCACTCCCCCTGCTTGTGTTCCTGCTCTCGCTGTGTCTCCCTCTGTCAAATAAATAAATAAAATCTTTAAAAAAAAAGAAAAGAAAAGAAAACATATGCCCACACAAACACCTGTACAGTATGTTCATGGCAGCATTATAGATAATAACCAAAAAGTGGGAACATCCCCTGTCCATCAGTTGTGAACGAATAAACAAAATGTGGTATATTCATACAATGGAGTATTTTCAGCCACAAACAGGAATGAAGAATTCATGGATGAACCTTGAGAACATGCTAAGTAAGAAGCCAGACACAAAAGGCCGCATGTTGTATGATTCCATTTGTAAGAAATGTCCGGAATAGGCAAGCCTGTAAGACAGAAAGTAGATTAGTGGTTGTCAAAGGCTGGGGGGTAAGGGTGCAGAGAGTGGGGAGTGACTACTTATATGAGTACAGGGTTTTTTTAGAAGTGATTAAAAAGTTCTAGAATTTGATACTGATGATTTTGCAATCTTGTGAATAAAAATTTAAGAAAAAGGAATGGAAGGATAAAGTATGAGAGTAAAATTTTCTGAAGTCAGAAAATCTAAAGAAAAGTTAAGTTGTGGTATTATTTCCTTCTCTGGATCTTTAAGTATTTAAATAAATGCAATACCAGGAAACCATAATAGCTTACCTTATCAAAAATTTACGGGAGTGATAAAATAATGTTCTTTACAGATTCTGACTGTATGCCATGTGTCTCTGAGTGCGACAAAGAAGACTCTCATGCTGATGTTATCTGTCACTCAGCATCAAGATCATAAAGTTCTGTGATAAATGTGGAAGATCTGTGTCAGAAACGTCTATTACCACCAGCGATTTGGGTATATTTGTAAGACACACTTAAAATTTACTCCTCATATCTCACCTTAAAGTTGGATGGTGAAAAATGAAGACCAAATTTTTTAAAAAAGGCTTATTTACTAGTTTGCTAAAATCTGACCAATTCACCAATTAGTAAAATGCTTTCACTTTTTGAGCTTTATAAAGTTCATCAATACCTTGAAGTACACTGTGTTTTTGTCTGCCCCTCTCCCAATTCTCTTATCTGAGGTAACAAAACTTGCCCACCTGACCATGGGGATGGGCATGTGACCCAAGCTGGCCAATCAGAATCTTCTAGAATGGAACTCTAGAAAGAAGCTGTCCTTCCACCTGAGCTGTTGGCTACCATGTTCTCTCCTCTGAGGGGAAGGCCTGTCTGCAGTAAGGGGGGAATGAGGTAGACACTCAAAGAGACATAGAGATAAAGAGAACTAGAGATGGAGAGTTCTAATCCTATATCCCTCTGGCTGCTTCTCCCTGTCCTGCCCACAGCTGGAAAGAAGGGCAGAGGGAACTATGAGGCCAGTGAGTTCATTTGGCAAATCAAACATATTTAAAAAATCTATTTAACATGAGTACTCTGGGAAATAGAAAGTCCTCGGCCCTGCCAGAGCCTTCACAGAACAGGAGAGATGGATCTGCAAATAGCCTGCTGTAGGGTAAGGTGGAATCAAGGCTATGGTTCAGGTGCAGACCCAGGACTAGGGCACCCCAAGAAGGGGAACATGACTTTGACTGGGGGGGATCAGATGGGGCTTCAGGGAAGGATGTGGGATCTTGACGGAAGGCCATTCATGGAGAGAAGGGGCAGGAGAGCGCAGGGTGCATTTCTCTGGAAGGAATGGCCCAACTCTGACCCAGACATGGGAGAGTACGGGGCAGGTTTGAGGAGGAGAAGTTGTCCCCGAGGCTGGGGTGGTGGGTGTGGGAAGGGAGGAATCCAGATAAGGTTGGGAAGGATGACAGAGCCAAAGAATGGTCTGTGGTTTGGGAAACCAAATGGTCAGGTGATGAGTGTTAGTGAAATTGAGAAGATGAAGGGCATGTGTCCCCGAAAGTCTAGTGCCATCTGGATCTCCAGACTAGAGAGCCTCTTTCTGGTTCAAACCCTACCATAATGCTAACCCATAGTGGATATGCCTGAAACCCCTGGGACCAGACTATCTGGGTGAACTTGGGCAAATGATATGTCCCGTCCAAGCCTCAGTTTCTTTATCTGTAAAATGCAGTAAATACTAGTATCTAGTTTATAGAACTGTCTAGACAATAAAGTAACTTATGCATGTAACGCATGCCCCCTAAACGTGACCTAAAATTTCAATTTTTATTCTTCGCCCTTCTCTGGTGATCCAAGAAACCATGGTCAAAGGCTGTGTTTCATCAATTCATTCATGACTGTTCCCTGGACATCTATTAGGTTTAGGTAATTATGCTTGGTGCTATGGAGGACACAAAGATGAACAGGTCATGAGAAGCTCACAATCTGTCAGGAGAGTAAGGTAGGTCCTTTGGCAGGTAAGGGTACTCTGGGAATTTGAGCTTAGTCTTGAAACATGAAGGGTGCATAAGGTTCACTGACTACAAGGGAATCAAATCAAGTTGTCTTCTCCTTCCAGTGCCAAACGGGACTGGAGGTCCTGTGATGTGACAATGACAAGGATGTATTAGTCTGCCAGGGCTGTCAGAATGAAGTACCACATTGGGTGGCTTAAACAACAGAAATTTCCTCACCCTTCTGAAGTTTAGAAGTCCAACATCAGGGTTGGTTTCTTCTGAGAGCCTCCCTCCTGGGCTTGTGGATGGCCGTCTTCCTAGGGTCTTCTCTCTGTGTGTGTGTCCTAATCTCCCCTTCTTATAAGGACATCAATCAGATTAGATTAGGACCCACCCATTGTGACCTCATTTTACTTTAATTACCTCTTGAAAGGCCCTATCTCCAAAAACAGTTGCATGAGGTACTGGGGTTTAGGACTTCAACCTATGAATTTGAGGGGACACAATTCAGCCCATAACAAAGGTTGAATTTGGAATGATCAACAGCCTGGTCAACACAGAGAACAAGAGTCACACCGTTTTGTAGCCCTCAGGTAAGAGAGACACACACCCAGTCAGCAGGAAGGTGGGGGGAGGGGCCGGATGCCATGACATCCCTGGGGGAGCTCCCAGCGCTGAGGGGAATGAGGCGCTGAGTAGCAGCAGGGACATCGTGCCTAGATGACAGCTTGTGGGCAAGTTGCTCTCTCTCTGTGGTCTCAGGCCCTCATCCTCAGCAGGAGACTCCTAACCCTGGTCACACATTGGCAACACCTACGCAGCTGGGGGGAAAAAGTGAGTATCTAGCCCTGCCCCCAGAACTCTGGTTCAATGGGGTGACCTTGACATCAGCAGTTTTTCAAAGCACCCAGGTGATTCTAAAAGGCAGCCAGGGCTGAGACCCCTGGGCAAGAAGACCTTCACATTCCCTTCCAGCCGCAGACCATAATTCAACCCTAGACTTGGGATCTGGACCCCCTGGATCACCACATTCTCTGGCCCTTGGAATCTCTGCAAATGCTTTCTTTAATAAAATGTCCATTTGCAACATTATACTTACTCTTTAAATTTGCATAGCCCATTATAGTTTGATGAAGTAATTGTATAGGCATTAACTCATTTTTTAAAATTTTTTATTATTATGTTATGTTAATCACCATACATTGCATCATTAGTTTTGATTGGCATTAACTCATTCAATCCTCATCACAACCCATGGGTGGGTGGTGGGCAGATATCACTATCCCCCCTCCCCTTTATTTCTCTCCAGAGCACTCACCACCCTCCAGCATGCCAGATCATTGGCTTATTTACTTTTGTCTTCCCCACATAAGAATGTCAGCTTCATCGGGGCAGGCATTACTGTCTCTTTCGTTTGCTGCTGGCACATCACAGGCACTCGGTAAATATTGGTTGAATGAATTAATGAATTATAGAAGAATAAACTAAAGCCCAGAGAGGTTAGAAGATCTGCCCCAGATCACACAGCAAGTAACTGGAGTAGCTATTGAATTGCCTCTTCTGTGTTCTTTCTGCTCTGTCTACCCTTGTTCTGGGCTTCCTAGGGTAACTCTGGTGTTGGAATGGACCCAGGAGGTACCAGGGGACAAGGAATTCAGAAGTTGACATAGTTGCAGATAAGCTAGCTGCCACCAGGAAGAGTTCTTAGAATCCTCGAGATAAAGCATAGATTCTTTGCCAAGGTGAGGGAGAGCAGCTTCTGCTGATGGCCAAAGGCTTAACTTAATTTACAGCCTTTCATTTTCATTCTGGGAACAGAAGTTTTCCCTTGTAATTACCTGCAAATGGTTTGTGCTAATGCACTGAATCATGGGGCTTCCTAAAAACAGAGCATCAAAATGAGGAAGCTGCCTGGTAATCACCAGGGCTGGATGTCTAAAGAGGCAATCAAGATAATCAAACTTACCACAGAAGAGGCCTCAGAGACCAAAGGGTCCAACCTGCCATTTTACAGATGAAAAAGAGGCCCAGAGAGATCAAGTGGCTTACGGGGCTTACAGCCGCCTCTAACTCTCTTCTTCCCTTACTCTCCATCACAAGAGATGAAATGGGAATTAACCTGAATGCAGGACAACAGCTCATGGGAAGGGATGCTTGCCTCTCCCGGATCTTGTTAACCTTAACAATAATACTATCAGTTATTTTACCAGCAAAATAGGCTTATTCAGGAATAATGCAGATGAATTGCAACCCAGGACACACAAACTATGACAAACCTTATAGGCAAGTCAGGAGAACAGAGGAGAAGAACCTTCTTTTATAGAGGAAAGGAGGAGGGTAGTTGAGAGGGGCTGTTATACACAAGCCCACTGGAGGAAACTGGAAGTTCAAATTGTAGTGGCTTTTCATTGGCTGAGCTGTGACAGTCTCTCATTGGCTGGGCTGTTGCCAGGCCAAGAGAAAATCTTCCTTTCTCATGCTGGGGTAGTAAAGTACAAGCTTCTTCCTGTTGGTTCTGCAACTGAGGACTCTGGTAGGAGGTGAGATCTACCCCTTCTGGCCCCCCCTCTCCATTTCATATGAGCTTTCCTTTACTCAGTTTCACAGTGACATCCCTGGGTACTACACAGTCCACTTTCACCTGGGCAACAGCTACGTGAAAAATCACATTGTGTGCCCTGTAGATCATTAAGAACTATGATTTCTGAGTCTTTTGGACTTTGCTTCTCTCTCCACCTCTTGATTGAGAGACAAGGAATTGATTTCAAAATCAATTGGCCTAGGTCTGTTTGCTTCCTTTTTTTTTTTTACTGGATTAATTGTGTGGGTTTGGATTTCTCTGGATTCACGATTCTCTTCTTTGTCTCCCCCCTGAAATTGCATTCTAATCCTCCATGACATTTGTCTGGTTTCCCCGGCACCCATCTCAAAAGCCATAAACAGCAGATTAAGGCTTTGAAGGGAGAAGTGAGAGCTACACAGTTCTGGACAGGAGGTAAAAATCTCAGCTGCTCAGGAGGCTGGTTTGTAGCAATAACAAAGAAAGGATGACTCGGTGCATTTGAGTATCTTCCATGTGGAAAGAGCAGCTTTTTGTTATTTTTAAATCTCCAAGCACCTAAGATACCAACTGAGCCAGCCAGGTGCTCCTCTCTTCAAATCTTAATCAGTATATGGACATACATTTTATATAGTTGTCAGAGTTGGCACATGCTATTTTCATTCTCTACTTATGGATTCTCTCATGGATAAACACACTCTTGTGTCTCCTCTACTCTCAATAAACTGCTTTACTTCTGACAGTTCTGGCTACCAAATGTGTGTGTTGGGGGGGGGTCCCCATATCAAGCAATTCTGTAACACCTGCTAGGTGTCCTATAATTTAACTCGATTCTGACACTATCTACTGGGAGTTAGCATCAGATCCCACAGGTTAAGGACTCAGTCCCCCCAAACTATCTCCCTCTCCCCACAGTTGCCAGTCATAAGTCCAGATTGTTACCTCTGCTTCCAACCAACTCGTATAAATCAGAGGTTCCCACGGTCCCTCCCAAGGTTCAATTAATTTGCTAAAGCAGCTCACAGAATTCAGGCAAACAATTTACTAACTAGGTTACCTATTTATTACAAAGGATATTAAAGGATACAAATGAATAGCTAGGTGAAGAAATATGTAGGGTGAAGTCTAGAAGGGTCCTGAGCACAGAAGCTTCTGTCCCCATGGAATTTGGGGTGTGACACCTTCCTGGAACGGGGACATACTTTTGTTCACCAACCTGGCAGTTCTCCAAACTTATTCTTTTGGATTTTAATGGAGGCTTCATTACACAGGCATGGTTGATTAAAATCACTGACCGTTGGTAACTGATTCAACCTCCAGCCTCTCTTCCCTCCCTGGATGGAGAGGGGCAATAAAGTTCCAACTCTCTAACTTGGCTGGTTCCAGCAAACAGCTTCCATCCTCGGGTGAACTAGAGACTTTCCAAAAATCATTTCATTAGCATACACTCAGATGTGGTTGAAAGGGGGTTGTTATTAATAACAGAAGACACCCATTTCACCCCTATTACTCTGAAGCCATTTCAAGAACCGAGGACAAAAGCCAACTATTATAACAAAAGATGCCACTATTGCTCTAATCAGGAAATTATAAGGGTTTGGGAGCTGAGAGCCAGGAACCATGGACGAAAACCAAAATATATATTTCTTATTATAAATCACAATATCACATCCACACATCTCCATAAATTGCAAAAGCCTGAGTATTTGTATGCCTGATGCCTGGGGCCTCTGTTATGAAGCACAGTTGGCTTGGCCATTCTCTGTCACTTGGAATTGTGGTCATTCCTAGTTTTTACATGTGGACTATCACTTGATAATCTTGTTCCCTGTTGCCCTGATGTGGCACCTTAGATGCCCTGTTCCTAGTGTTAACCTTACAAATAAAACTGTCAGTTATTTTACCAGCAAAATAGGTTTATTCAGGAAGAGCAGAGAATTGCAACTCAGGACACTCAAGCTATGGCAAAACCATAGGGAAGTCCAGAGAACAAAGAAGAACGTTTTATAGAGGCAGGGAGTTGGGAAGGGCTGTTATAAACAAAAATTCCACTGTAGGAAACTGGGAGTTCTAAGTGTAGTGGCTTTTCATCGGCTGAGCTGTGACAGTCTCTCATTGGCTAGGCTGTTGCCAGGCAAGGAGAAAATCTTCCTTCCTCATGCCGGGAAGGAACATCCAGGCTTCTTTCTGGGGGGAATGCAAGGTATTGCCTCTTCCTATTGATTAGATGAGGAGTGGTAGAGGGTGAGAGCTTCCCCTTCTGGCCTCCTGACTCCATTTCAAACGAGGTTTCCTTGATTCAGGTTTGCACTGGTTTGCCCAAGAAATAAATGAAAGCCCATGGTCAGGCCAGTTCTGGACCGGGAGCTAGGAGACCTCTGCTTTTGCCCAGGACACGGGCATGTTTCCTCATCCTCCTGGGCTGGGGCTCCATGGGTGTAACATCCCAGGGAGACAAGAAGGTCTCCAAGTTGTGTCCAGCTCAGCCAAAAGGAGGGTCAATGATTCTGGTCTTGGAAGCCTCCACTGCTCAGGGCATGAACTGACTCCTCAGCAGTCACCGCATGGCCTTTGAATCTTCCTCCCCCTCAGCAATTCCTGTCTGCCCGTCTTCCAGAATATATCCCAAATCTGACCACTTCTCTCCACTCCCACTGCCACTCCATTATTCCACACCACCCTCCCACCTGGGCTCCCTTGGTCTGTTCTTCCCCGCAAGCCAGAAAGGTCTATTAAAAACATAGGTCAGATCAGGTCATTGCCCGTCTTCAAACCCTTCCCTGGCTTTCTATGGTCCATGAAATGAAATCTGCACTCCTCACAGTGACCTATGAGACCTCACAAGATCTGATCTCTGCCTGCCTCCGACCCCATCCTGTCTACTCTGCCTTCAGCCCCTCCTCTGGTCAACGACATTGGCCTTATGGGCTTTCCCTCCTCCAGGCATTCTCCAGCTCCAGTGCTCCCTGCACCTCCTTGCTTGTCCTGGTTTAAAAAAATTAAAAATAAAAATTCAATGGAGTAAAGTTAAAGCTCTAATTGGCTTTATTAATGATTCATGAGTCAGGCAGCATCCCATCTAGCAAGTAGAGGGGAGCTCTGAGGAGTCATACAAAACAGAAGGTTTCTATAGGAAGGAGGGAAGGGAAAGGAAGTTATTAGCAAAAGAAAAAAAGTATTGTTTCAGGCAAGGTCATTTTCCTTGTGGGGGTGGGGAAGAACAGGGGGTTTTATCATGCACATTACCTCATCTCCCTTTGGGGGATAGAGAGGGCCCATGTGACAGATTTCCTCACTTTTTCTGGTGCTGACCAGAAAATTCCTGACTGACCAGTGAAGACTTCATTTCTGGGGGAGGTTGAAACTGCAATTAGGTTAGGTCTAAGCCTGAGTTCGGTGACATGGCCTAGCATAAGTGACTCCATATTGGGCCTGTGGTTTTCTTAACATCCTTCAGGCCCAGTTCACCTGTCTTCTCCTAGCAGACGGTCCTTACCCTCCCTCCCTTCCTGAAGGATCCCCTGTCTCCCACTTACAGTGATCAATGACAGCATGTTATTATTTCCTTCAAAGGACTTTTCACAGATTGTCTTTCTCTTGTGTTGCCATTTTTTGTGCTAGAGTATCAGCTGTTTCCCCCACCCCCACTGGAAGCTGAGATCTATAGGGTGGGGCAGGACCTCCACTGACTCTGCCCCACCTTGCAGAGTGCAGAATGCATTCAGTAGGACTTAATGAGTGCATACCTGGAAAGACAAAGGTTGCCTTGAGCCCTTTCATACTCCTGCCTCGCTGGGCTGGGCTCAGATGACCGACCATAGTCAACTCTTTATGGGGGAGGCTAGTGACGGTTCTGTTCCTAAATCCCTCACAGTAGGTGTGGGCAAAGGCAGTCTGATGTGGCGGGTGACCTATGGCTTGGTTGGCCTGGGTTAACAGAGAAAGCAGAAGGTGGGGCGAGCCATGGATGGCAGAAGGCTGAAGACCATCAAATCCCATGATGCCACCCAGAGATGCCAAGGTCCCCTTTGTGTCAGCACATCCCCCTCCCTAGCCCCTATCACTTAGCATAATAATTCTCCCATTTATCCAGCATTTTACAAACATTATCTTTTTTAATCCTCATCACAACTATACTGAGGTAAGTATATTATCTTCATCTAACCAAAAGAAATGGAGTCTCAGAGAGGTTTAAAAAATGATCCTGTCTTGCAGTGCAGTCAGGATTAGAACCTGAGACCTCTGACTGCTGAGCCGTTGACCCCAAGCACATCCCAGCAAGAGCTTCTCGTTGCATCTGGAAGTGGCCCCAGAGATCTCAGATCTCAGGGCCTGAGCAGTCTCTCCCTGGGCTCCCCTCCCTTCTTCATGGCTCCTGCTTTGTGGACAGGTCTGCCTCTCCCACCACATGGAAAGCTGTTTGAAGCCAAGGATTGTCTCCTGTTTTTGGTGAGGAAGTAGAAACCTCTTGATCTTTGTTAATAAATACTACCATGGAGTTTCCTGTGAAAACACAGTGGACTCTTCGTTCTCAGCCAACTGGAGAGGACGTTGTCAAGGCCTGGACAGCATCCCAGAGGGAGCCCATGGCAACACAGTGGCCCAGAACCCTAGTTTTCCGGAAATCATTTGAAAGCAGAATGAGGAAACCTGACTGTACTCCTGGTTCTGTCACTAACCTGTGTGACTTTGGGCAACTCACCTCTGCTTCCCAGGCCTCAGTTTCCCCATTTATAAAAGGAGAGGGTTCGGGATTCTTCTAAGACCCCTTCCCTCTTTCTGTACATATTGGTTGTGGTGTGCCCGGCTTGGGGGGGCGGTGCTGGGGGAATGGAGGGGTTTGGGGGTGGCATATATACAGCAATGAACCACGCAGTCTGATAGAGAAGATGGGCCTTGATTCTACAGGGCATAGTTTTTGACCCTTGCCAGCTATCAAACCTGGTGTAACACCCTGTGACAGGTCTAAACCCCAACCTGCCCCCAAACCTTTCAATCAGGTTAACGCAGTCCCACTTTAAAGACACCTACCTGCATCTGTCCCGGGGTATCTCGAAGGTCCCTTATCCCTTTCTGCCCTTGGAGAAGTCTGACCTGGCATAGGTGGCCTGCTGGACTGAGCGTCCCCGAGGTGCCAGACCCGGAATCCCAAAAAGGACTCAGGCCCGGGAGAGGCGCGAGGACACCACGGGGAGGCGCCGCCACTCCAGTGTCCCGACCCTGACGCCCCCGGGGCGGTCCCCAAGGCCCCCGGGACCGAGGGGCGAGCGCGGCCTCTCCCCAGGATCACCTGCGCCGGGCGGGGCGGGGCCGGGGGCGGGATCCCGGGCGGGTAGAGCCGGGGCGGCAGCGGTGGAGCCGGCGGGAGGGCCAGCGGGCGGCGGCGCAGGGCGGCCGGCTCGCCGGGGCAGGTAAGAGGCCCCGGGACGCCCGGACGCCCGGGGCTGCGGGGAGCGCGGGCGGCCCGGCTCAGGCGCGGCGGCTCGCGGTCCACCTGCCGGCCGCGCTCGGCGAAGGAGAGCCCGGGCGTGGGGGATGTGGGGTTCTCGGTGTCGCCCCACTGTCGTTGGAGGCAGGGCCTGCGGTGTGCGCGCGAGGGCAGCGGCCAGAGCCGGTGGGAGGAAACTGATCATCGCGTGGGTTTGGAGATGGGGTTGGGGCCTGCGTAAAGGTGCGCAGAGTGCCAGCCCCGCGCCGCGGAGCGGAGAAGCGCCCTGAGAACCAGCCTGCGTCTGGGGGGGGGGGGTTGATATTCCGGGGATCCAGTAGGCAGGTCATTCCCTTTCCCGCCCCCCACCAAGCCTCTTTCTGAGAGCCTGAGACTCCCCGGAAGAAAGGGGAGCTGACCTGGCCAGCCAGGAGGTAGAAGGGACTCGGAACCATTCGGGACCTGGGTTTGCTTCATCTGTGAAATGGGCATCTTGATGGGTCTGCCCTATGCGGAGACCTCTCTGGGAGGAAGATCTGTGATTCTACGAGGAATAGAACAGAGGGAGGAACCCAGGGTTCCCCAGGGTTCCCCCTGAATTTGCTGATCTGGTTCAGATCAGCAAATTCGGTAGACACGTGGGAGCAGCTGCTGGGTGGCTCACTGGACAAGCTGCTCCAGAGGAAAGACGCAGGCACAGCTACTATTCTATGGTCTGGGTCCCCTGGTGGGAGGAGGAGATGGGTGTGTCAAATACTAGGGCTCCTTTAGAGGGTCCAAGGAAGTCCTGTAGTCTGGGAGGGGGATCCGGAAGGCTTCTTGGAGGAGATGGGGTTGAGTGGAGCTGGGAAAGAAAGCACAGTGTTTAAGGGCCGGTGCTTTGGCATTAGTCGACCTGGGCGTTGGAATCCTTGCCTTGCCGCTTAGCTGGTGGCTAACTTAGCCTGAGGCAAAACCTTCATTCCTCAATGGTCCCGTTTGATGTCCTCCTTAAAAGAAGTAGTTTTTCTGAAACATTAAGTCAGATAATCCATGTAAAGTGGGCGCCTGGGTGGCTCAGATGGTTGGGCGTCTGCCTTCGGCTCGGGTCATGATCCCAGGGTCCTGGGATCGAGTCCCGCATCGGGCTCCCTGCTCCTTGGGAGCCTGCTTCTCCCTCTGCTTCTCCCTCTCTCTCTCTCCCTCTCTCTCTCTCTCCTCCTCTGTCTCTCATGAATAAATAAATAAATAAATCTTTAAAAAAAATAAAGTGCTTAGTACAGAGTCTGTATGTAGTAGACTCTCAACAAACATAAACTATTAATTTCCACTAGACTGTAGCTCCTTGGGGGCAGGGACAGTGTCTATTTGGTTCTATATTCCTGGCACCAGTATGGTGCCTGGCATATAGTTGGTCTCACTACATATTTGTTGAATGAATGAACGATGAATGAGTATGTAGTCAACAAATAGCGAATTTAGAGATGGCCACATGCCAACGGATGGGTATGGATAGAGCAGATGGTGGTCCAGGTGGGTGAAACAGTGTAAACATAAGCCCAAAGTAACAGATCGGGAGTACCTCCCTCGTATGGGGCAGAAGGTAACATGATGAGCATATCCAGAGCATAGAGGTCGGGAAGGGCACTCTAACTCCTGGGATCCTGAATCCCAGCAACCACACAGGGGTAAGGGAAGGAGCTGGTGGCATAGGTAGGTCGGATAGCCTTCTCATGTCCTCTAAGTGTCCATCTCAAAGTCATATGGGTAAGGGGAGGAAGGGGTGCTGGGTACCTCATGGGAGCAGAAGATGACAAGGGAAAGGAGTCCCTGGCCCCCTTCTTGTGGTGGGGCATTCCTCACCTTGTCCCTGCTGGTCTCTATGCAAGCTCATGGTGAGATGGTAGAAAGGGGCAGCATGGTGCCAAGGAAGCCAGCCACTGGGTGTGTGTGATGAGCTAGGCACACAATGAACCGGGTTAGAAGAACGTGCTCCATCTTTCGGGGAATCTGCTGTAATAGTTTTATATCAAGAGGAAATCCTTGTGGCTGGCTCCCGAGCTCCCTATTGCACTATGGACTGTGGCCAGCCTCAGGCCAGGAGGGAGCTGTGTCTTTGGGAGTAGAACCATCCTCTAAGCAAAGTGAGGGGACGTTTGCTTTTCTAAAGGCCTGGAAAGGCAGCGTGTTGGGTTTCTCTCTCCCCGGGGTGACCAGGAAGGCATGAGAAGCAAAGGTCTGAGGTGGAGGCAAGGGGTTGGGGGAACGTATCCACAGGAGATAGGAGGCACTGTACCCCTCAAAAGAGCCAGGTTCGAAGCTTCTCCTCATAGCACTTTCCATAGTTGCTCGTAATCTAATTTGCCATTTGCCCCGATTCATCAGTGCCCCAGAGACCCGCGGGGCTCTGAAGAGCTAAGCGACATGCACGCTGATCCCCATCCTACTGCCCTTGGGACGCAGGGTCATAGTGTGCAAGGGCTACAGGGACCCTGGACGGTAAAAGAGGGCACCTTCCGTTTGAAGGTGCGAAAGCAGGGGTGAGATGTGCTCAGCCATGGAGCATGGCAGGGGCGGGGCCCGAGTCTCCTGATTCCACGTGCTCCGTCACTACAGCGGAAACTCTGGGGATTGGAGATGCTGCCACACTTGCCTTCATTTTCTGATCTTCCAATAAAATAGAATGAAAAGTTAGAAAAAGAAAGGTGGATTTTAAGTGGCCCAATGAAATCTTGTAGTTAAAAAAGAAACCCTCACATCTGATGACAAGAAGGACGGAAAGTCCCATATGTTCACTTTGTCTTTTTAAAGATGTGTTTGATCTTGAAGAGAAATCATCAAAACAGGGACCCCCTCCTCTAGCCTAGGCTGAACTCTTGCTGTCAGAAGTGCCTGTGTGGAGATGCATGCTCTGCAGGCCTCCACAGAAGGACCTCTGAAGGCCGCCCGGAGGCAGCGGCGTGTTTATTTGTCCTGGACAGCCACCAGGCCCCGTGCAGCCTGCCCCCATCGCCTTCCCCACCTGCATCCAGCCTGCTCATGGTCGTCGGTCGGGTCGTCGGCCTCTTGGCTTCTGGCAGCCCACTCTTTGCTTTGGGATCTGGCAGGACGGCTGCCTCTTTGTTTTCTCTCAAACAAATGCCTTAACGGAATTCTAGATCCTAGGCAGGCAAGAGGAGGCAGGAAGAAAGGGGGACAGAGCCAAGATGAGAGAAAGAAAGAGAGAGAGAGGCTGTGGATTCCTGAGCAGGGCTGGGGTGTGTAAAGCTGGGGAGTGTGGCAGCGAGTCTGGAACTTCTCATGTGGTTTGAACCTCCCGGGGGGTGGTGGCTGCAGTTTGGCCTAAGGAAGGAAAAGAGGGTGTGCCAGTCTCTAAGACAGAGAGGCCTGTTCTTCAGCCAGCTTGAAGGCCCGTCTGAGGGGCCTTCTGCCAGGGCTGGCCACTCCTGAGCCGCGGGGGCCCTCGGTGGCACTGCCAGGTCCCGTGGGAGCTGCTGGGGGCCTCGAGGAGGTGGAGCAGGTGGTGCGAGAGGTCTGGCATCTCGAGGGCTGTGCCAACCCTGGAGGACCAGCGTGCCCTGCTCCAGGGCGGCATCGGGCTGAAGTCAGCAGCAAGCCTAGGCAAGGAGCAAGGACTTGGGCCTCTGCTTTGGAGTTGTGGGATCTTGTTCCAGCCACGGCAACTCTCTGGGCCTCAGTTTCCTAATTTATTAGAGAGGATACTTGCCCCAGCAATCACTTAATGGATATCTGTTTCCTTTCCCCTTTAGAGAAGCTTGTGTCTTGGAAACTGTGGGGCCAACCTTTCAGGCAAACAGCCTCAGAATTTTTAAATTCCTCCACAGTTCACACTCCCTTCATTCATTCACTCCTTCCCTCATTCCGCTCGGGGCTAACACCTGCCCCTGGCCTGTGCTGGCGATTCAGACTTCGCTCTCTCTGCTGCTGGGCACCCGGCTCCTTGCAGCCCCCCAGCGTGGCGCAGGGGCCTGGCTTTGAAGCTTCCATCTGTGGCGGGCCCTGGAGTTCTCCCTTCAGTCTGTTGTGCAATAAAAAGCAATTGTGTAACCTGTTTCCCCAGTGCAGTACCTCGTCCCATTATCCTCCCCCCGATTTCCTAGGGTTTCAGGCTGCCGGTCACGGAGGGAGACAAAGGTTCACTCCTGCTTGCCGAGCGCTTAGCAGGTGCGCCCACGGTGCTCAATGCTCCACGCGCCGCATGGCCTGTAACACCCTCAGTGCCCCGGAAGCCAGCAGTGGTGTGCCCCAGTTCGTACCAAGGTTCAGAGACAGACGCAGCTTTGCAGGTTGTCACAGAGGCAACCAGGGATGCATTCTGACTTCCCTGGGCCCAAGGCAATTTTACCTTCAGGGGCCCCTTCCTCCATAAAAAATACTAAAAAGTTGTATTTATGACTGCCTGCATATATTAAAACATTTCCTTTGGGGTGGCTGAGTGGCGCTGTCAGTTGAGCATCCGACTCTTGGTTTCGGTTCAGGCCATGATCTCGGAGTCATGAGACTGAGCCCTTTGTTGGGCTCCACGCTCAGCACAGAGTCTGCTTGAGATTCTCCCCCTCTCTCTGCCCCTGCCCCGCTTGCACTCACGCTGTGTCTCTCAAATAAATAAATTTAAAAATTTTTTTCTTCAGCCTAAAAGTTCCTCTTTTCTTCTGATTTTGAAAGAAATGAAAACATTTTTGTGGGCCCTGAGCACATTTTCCCGCGGCCGATGGCAGCGTGGGCCCCAGACCTGACAGGGCTGGGATTCCAGCAGAAGCTCATCGTTGGGGCGGGGGGCAGGGGGAGGGGTTCCTAGCCTCCTCATTGCACTGCTCTTTAGCAGTTAAAAAAAAAAAAAAAAAAAAA